AAAATAGTGACATCCCCCTCACCATACTCATTCAGGAACGACAGACAGTGACGGAAATAGGAACAAAGCGGAGAGACTTCCTTATTCTTCCTAGAGCCTTTCTGGGCCAACGTCCTGCCTCAGCTCCGAGGAGAACAAGGTCGTCTTCCCGCACTGGACCTATTTCCGTCCCTGGATCTTATGGCTGGTGCCTAGTTCTATCTAGGAAGGCGACGAAACTGAAATAAGTTTGGGTGGTCCCGTGACACTCAAATGCTCCATAATATTGAATAGAAGCCGTCTAATCGGTTGCGTAGCCCATCCCAGAGGAATTGGTCGTCGCTTTTTTTCCTATTAAATAAAAGCAGCTGGTGGAGGGGTAGCTCGATGTGACTTTTTGTATGCAAAAATTGCCCTTATTGAAGTTGAGTTCCATGAGAGTGCACGCTCGAAGGTTCTATTTATGGAATTATAGGCTGGCTGGCTATAATGCAGCTTCTTTTACTTCTTTCATTACTCGAGCGTTCATTATGTGCACCTATCAATTTCAATTTTGATCGTCGTGCATCACATTCCGCTTATCGAGAGGGCTGCCTTCTCTAGGGGTGAGGTGTGCCCTCTACTATTCAGCCAGATGTTTCTTGTAAATTTTGTTGTTTCTGAATCAACCTAACACATGAAGGGAGCTATCTGTAAACCCCAATCAAAGGATAACTGATAGTCTTTTAACCTTCATCGATCTCATTTTTGAGATCCGCCCACGCATACTTCATTCATTGAAAATCGCAGTGATGTTTTCAATGCCTATTTGACCTATACAATGACTTGCGTTGGCCAGCCCATGTACAAATCAATGCTTTTATCCTCCCAGATAGTCTGTTACCCGACAACCAAATTTGGTGGGACATAAGGCTCAGTTTGCCTGGGCGAGTATCGACCCGGGACAAAATTCCTGATTATAGTGCGGCACCACTTGTTAGTGCACCATCGATCATTCAAATACTTCGTCGTGATTCAATGAGACCCTGTGGATCGACTTGTGCTGACTTTCTCTGCCAGGCGCTCTTGTTTGACAAATTTTTATTTTTATTTGTTTACTACTGAGAAATTTCATGAAGTAGAAGGAGTAAAGTAATAAAGTAAAGTAAATAATCCGAGAACCAATACCGATTTATTCACAGAAGGCATTGGATGCAGAAAGTTACCAAATTTCAAGTAGGAAACGTTTTTCAGCAAGCTTTTTCGACCGTTTTGGCATTTTCCATTGCGGCCTTTCCGATAAAGTGCCACGCTACTAACCCTAGTCTACTGAATCAACGATAGAAATAGATGATTTCTTCCAATATGTATTTTTGCCGAAAGACATGGGATGTCTGGGTAATTCGCATTTCATAGATTGTTCTGCTAACTAATCTTTGTAGAGGGAAGCCTAAATTTCCGTTCCTACAAGTAATATGATTGCTAGACCTACGTAGACTGTTACCAGAACTTATTAGAGATATTTTTAAACTTATCAATGACGATAGAAGTGCACGTGTCAGGAATCTACATTATTCAAACCCTGTACCTGCCTCACAATATTGCCATAAATTTTTCGGTCTTATACATTGAAACTAAACTAAATCTGAGTCATTTTACTGGCAGTGTTTTCCTATTTTCTGATGATTTCAGTTTCCATTCGGAACCTACTTTTCGATCGATATATACGTATATCAATATTATAATTATATCAATAGATTGTGGTATCGCGAAGACGAAATTTGCCTCGAAGAGGTATTATTGCTGGTTGTAGAGCTGTAACTGCAGGGTTGGAAAGGGTCCTGACAACTTCAGAGAATGAAGAGTGACTTCTGGGAGCCCTCAGCGGAGTGACCGATAAGTGAGGAATGAAGGAGGCTAGCGAGTAGGATCAGTCAACTTTTTAGGAGCCCGTATCGGAAATCCCTTTTTATGTAGGTAGCTGCGAGCTTCGATTAGTGAGCCTTTACGAGTATGTTGGACTGATTGCTGGACTTGGTGCTTTGCTCAACTTCGAGTGGATTTAAACCCGTAATTGAGCTTTACACTGCCCGGCAGCTGCTCTCTATCCTTACAAGTGGATCAGCAAAAGGAAATCGGAGTAGAGTAAGGGGTAAAGAGAAAGTGACTGAGTGGAACGGTTGAGTTCCGCCTACAGCCAAGACTTCTGTTCATAGTTCACAATCCCTATAAGACATTCGGATCATAAACTCCGGCAGAATTGCCGATCAAGAAAATTATTAAGCTAAATTTTCAAAATATCGAAATAAGTACCGCGTTAATGTTCATCAGACCCATTGTCTTTGAAATCATCCTCCTGAAAGACTTAGTATATTGCTTTCAGGATACTGTGGAGTATAATGGAATATAATTATATATGAATAGAGCCTATACTTGGAAAAAACAGACTTGTTATGGAGCTGGTTCTTCGAGGCTCTGTCACGTGGGTCATTAGGGATAGTCCTACCAGGCGCACTGATCATCTGACATGAATCAGTGAACCACTATTTTCCATCGGGGGCTATTACCCAGTGTACTTTCTCCTTGTGTATTATGAATATTGATCCATTCAAATTGGAGGCAGCGCACTTCTCTCATTCTTTTGGTTTTTCTCAAGCCCTACTTCAGTATTTATCAATCGGACCCAGAATTCTTCTTTTCCCTTCAAAATTTTATTTTTTCTTCCAAAATTTTATTTTTTTTTTAAATTTGTCATCCGAAACAGATGGTTCACTAACGGAGTTAAGTTTTTGGGGAGGTTCATCTTTGTTAAAGCTCTGGGACCTGGGTTGCCGCAACTTTGAGAAACTATGGGTGCTTTGGGACGGACCTGGACTCCGGAAAATTCGAGAAACTGGGATAGCTTGGTTACTGGGTTTCCGACACTTTGAGAAACTAAACCTTACCTGCCACTCCCCTATAGATTGACAGTAATTCTTAATATTTTACGGACTATATGGATCATCGATGACATTTCATGCATTACTAACGGCTTTGGGATGTTGCCGGCTGTTGAAGTGGGGGAAATCGCTATTAATCATTGGGAGATACCGAGAACGTGCATTTCTAAGGTTTTGACAACTGGAAAATCCAAAAACCGATTGAAACATATGCTCTCTTTCCTTCTCCATCATTTCCTCCAGTGGACCACGTTAACACCGCTGCCTCTGTTCAGCGTTGCTATACCGTTCCTTCAATTTTTCATGGCTCTTACATCTAATCCATTTGATTTTTATTGTTTTTCTCTTTCTGAAAGACTTTGATCGATGAGTATTGACCTCGGGAAAGTCAACGTTAGGTTGCCCCGATTGGTAATTGAAATTTTTATAAAAATTTCCGGTATCGGCTTCATTTTTTTGCAATTTTCGTCTGAACTATCTCATCAGAATATTCGGCATTAACTACAATATTTTGTCTTTATTTCTAATTGTGGATTCTCAAAAGATTCTGGACGGTACGAGTTTGGACCGATAGGCAATACGGAGCAAGGAAACATTTCTTCCTTTTATGTTGTCCCATCGGAATGAAGTCCCATTCGTTATGTGCCTGCGTGCGTGAAACCATCGAGAACGGTAATGGAGAAATCCAACGTTCCCGCAAGTACTTACGGAACTTAGTCTCAATTGAAATCGTTTTCCAATGAAATTTTGCAAGGAGCTCTGAAACAAAAGAAAACGAAAATGCAATAACTGGCAAGCTTGAAAGAAGCTTAACGCTGCAAGCACTGGAAATTTATGGGTTCAAGGAGAGAAAGAGCAGAAGAGAATGAGCAATTAACTCAAAAAGCAACCGCGAGTCATTGGCTGCAGTTGCAAGGGCTGCCCAGTTTCACACCTAGCCCCTTCTCCCCCCACTCTGTACAATTAAATTTGAAAAGAGGGGAATATTCAATCTAGCAGTAACTTTGTATTTACATTTACAAATTGTGCAACGTGAACAGAAGAAAACCACTACGAAATGTGCAGGAGGCTTGGATTTTTTTTTGATTTAGACGCCTTCGCGAAAACATTCGTTCCCCCCTTACACCCACCCTGATCTGAGGACGTATAGTCATAATTCACTTTAACCAATTAGAATTTTTTTCTGGTAAGCTCGAAAGAAGCTTAACGCTGCAAGCACTGGAAAGTTTTGAGTTAATTGCTCATTCTCTTCTTTTTTTTTCTGCTTACCAAGTGTTTAGAATATATATAATATATTGTATATATAATCATTTAGAATTACTGAACTCGTCATTTATGGGAATCCTTCCCTATAGCTCATAAGTTTAAGTCTACAAAAACAACTTATTACTTCTGAAATGGAAGGAAAATTGAAAAATCTCGTTATGGAATTTGAAAAGTATGTCCCAAATATGGAGAATCGTTTTGAAAGTCGATACATGAGGAACACCTAATTTTCGAAATTTTGTTGTGTCTTATGTATTTAGATCCAAGGTTGGACCGTAATCATATAAATCTATTTCAAATAAGCCTATCGCGAGTTAATTACCCTAAGAAGGAGTTCCAGACTGTCAAAATTTTTATTTTCCAGGATCAACATACCCTTCAGAGACATAATGTTTTTGCATTGTCCACTATGTATCATGTATTATGCATTATAGAATGGCTATAGAACCAGGAGTTGGTAGGGGTTTCACTGGGTAGCTTCAACACCTCCTTCTAGTCCTAGCCTCATCATATGCTTATAAGTTAATATATCTCATTCAGCATATTTCTTGTCTATAAGTAGGCATATTTTTTGACTTTTTCACTTTTAGGACTTGGAACTTTTTCTCAATCTTCCCAAACAAACCACACAGACCTTTACAAACAGAGCACCCTGTACAATTGCCGTAGGCCTGGGTTGTACACATCGTATCAGCACGATTAATATAAGCTGTCCAATCTCGTACAACTGCTTTTTTTCGAATTGTTTCAATGCCAGTGGTTTTCAATGCTAGAAGAGAGGGTAGAGTGCAACACGCTTTTAAAGCTAACATATTTCAGGCCGGCCTTTCTCCTTCGATGCATCGGGTGTCGAATGGCAGCGTCGCCTCGGGCGACAGTCGCCGCAATAGTATGGTCGACTCGTGCGGGCGATTCTGTAGTCAACCGACAAATGGTGCACCTGAAGTACGTCATTGGAATCTTTCCTAAAAAAATATCGTTTAATACAACACGTTTCAGTTACTGATAGCATTATGCTACGATACGGATCACGGATGTCTCACAGTAGGTATAGAACGTGGTTCATCACTCAGTGAAAAGAGCAGGCCAACTGGTGAGTTAGAACATAGCCTTTTCTGGGGCACATCTCTTCGTGCAATTGTCAATATACAAAAGATTTCGGAGTCTATGATTTTCCATACCGTGTCCGAGTTTGTGGGACCTGAATGGAGCGTCTAGGACAGGACAATGGTGTTACCATCTGAGGTTTCTTATTGAACCCTGCCTGGATCAAAATCAAGAATTTGGCCCTCCACAGGATTCTTAGTAAAGTACAATTGTAAAGGCTAACACCACGGGACGGGAACGCAGTTGCTTCTGTAAACCGGCTGTGGGTCTGGACTCGAAAGCGTGGCTACGATGCAAAACACTCCATAGCGTGGTTCAGCGCGCGCGTAACTGCTCGGGTTTCTTGGATTTTGTCTTCCCGGGCTGAACCTTTGTTCCTGTAATGTTACATGACCGTTAAAGAGTGTCAGTGACCCTTTACTTGATCATTCAGAGTCCCATGTCAATTTACTGCTCCACCGTCACCCGTCTGACACACGGCAACTAAAAAAGACTGTTTGAAATTTCGCGGTCTCCTGCCCAATCCCATCGCTCGCTTGACGCGTTCCAAACGCTTTGACTCTGACAGTCCGCTGCCTTTTCTAACTCACTCAATGAGCTCACTTTGGGTGATCTCACCTAGCTGGACCCATTATGATCCATTTTGTTGTGGTCCGCTTGACTCCGGCCCATTCATTTGGGTTCGCTTAAGCGGAGAAAATGCGTCCACACTTTTACTCATATCTCTTCACGGTAGCAGTCCACGACACTGTGCTGACGTAATCTGACTAAGTAATTGTCTTCCTCCCCAAGGTCCCTTTTCGTTGCGTAGTGTATTTGACGCTCTGGAGATTTGTGTATTTGAATAGGGCTATGCCTTTAAAGGAAACGTGTTGTGTGGGGGAGTTTTTGTCCATTACATTTTATTTCACGGTAGGCTTACTGTGGGAACAAAGATGCCGCATTTTATTTTTTATCGTCTTGTAAGTGCTGTGGCTATGCAATTGCAGACTTTCACCGCGAGCTAATATAAATAGCATCGTTGTGCATTATATAAAATGGGACAATCTTTTTTTTTACAGACACATTCATCAAAATCGTTGCATTGGGTGAATTTGGTAACGAACTATGGCGTCAAAAAACCGAATTGGTAAAAGGATGCTCAGAACCACAGTACGATCATTCTGCATCTATACAGGTAAGATCCGTCCTAGACATACTTTGCTATGGTTTTTTTTAAATGCATCAGTTTCTCTTGCATGCTAGGCATCCCAGCCTTTTCTTCTCAGTGGTGCTCGTGTTTTACTCTCACCGTTGCGTTCATATTCAGAATACAAATTGAATGCCGTTGTCTTGTTTTTGTTGCAAACAGTATAAATATTACCTCACTTTTGGGACTACCTCTAGAAGTAGCTTCAAGGATTTCTGCCCATCCATAATTTATAATATTCATGCCGACATCACACTACTTTGTTCCATATGGAACTGCCCCTTAACCCTTTAACGACAATGCCGATTTCGACATGACGCTCCCTTCCTTTCGCGTGCGACTGGCACCTCCCGGTGGGTGGCACTGTCCTAGGGAAACTTTCACTGGCTTACTGAAGTCAGAAATTGGTAAGAAACAAGAAAGTATGGTGGCACCCGAAATTGCTGCCAATGTCCCATGCGCACCCACCGGTGGGCGTGGCCACTGTCGTCAGAGGGTTAAAAAGGAAAGGCAGGTCCTCGTTCTGATTTCCTTTTGAGATGAAAAGGATCAAGAGACATCGAAGGTTTCCATGCTCTGCCTCGTCTCCGAAATAGTTTGTTCATGTGGCCCTGAAAATGGTTAATATCCCCATGATCCCGAAAAAGATGCTCAACAAAGCGCGGCATTATGGGCTTCGTCAACATGCACTGTCGCGCTGTGTCGAGCGATGGTTCAGCTAACAATAAACTTGTCTTTGTCTGAGAATAGGGTTCTAACTTCTTGTTTGAGTGACTCTACGCAAGAGCGAGCGACTGTGCGCGACAACATAGTATTAGGTTGAGTAAAAAGTTTTGATCGACCTTCGTCCCTTTTTTCGTAGGACCGCTCGGAAGGACTTCGTAATGGGTTATGGTAGACCGATCCCTAACCTGTATTTTTAAAAGGATATATAAGCATCCCCTTGGAAGTGCTTCGCAAAAATGACTTCAACCCTCAACTGGCGAACGAAGTTGTCTGAGAGCTATCGTCTATCACGAATTACTGTAAGGGCATAATCCACCGACGGCTGTCGCAAATATCTATGGTGCATCCAGAAGGGTCATCGTATCTCAGCCCACGGGTGCCTCATGACGAAGCACCCCCAAGACTAACAGAGAAGTAGACTATGTCCGAGGAAGGTTTTACTGTGTCGTCGGTGGACATTCTCAGGGACTGCTCTACATTGGATAACTTACTGAGGGCTCCACCGTGACCGCCGAGATTTACGCTTTTCAGCTACGGAGTTTGGTCGACGTTGTTCGAAGGAAGCGTCCGCAGCGTGAAATGTTTGCCTTTTTCACGACAGCNCAGATGTGAAGCAGAACTCTGTGTTTTTACCAGACAATAATGTTCTTTCGCGCAATGATCTGCTCCACATCCGGGATTTCAAGAAAGAATTGTGCATGCAGAAGTTGNCACCTCCGCGATAGAAATTTTGATGACTGCCCGGAGCTCAAAGATGAGATCTCCAGCTTTTTCGAATCGTGGCCGCCACCCTTCTAGGCTTCAGGAGTCAAGAAACTGCCGGTTCGTTAGACGTATGTTTAGGACAACGATGGAGACTATATTACTAATTGAGATCTTCTTTCAATGGAAATAAGACTTTTTAAAGTGAAGATTGAAAAGCCGATCAAAACTTTTTACTCAACCTAATACCACAATATGCCTTAAGATGTCTCAATTGCGTACTGTTCCTGACCCTTTTAACGGCTAAAGCGGCATCAACCGGCAATCCACGACATGATGTCTAGTGTGTGAAGCTTTGCGTGACTCTTGACAGTTATTCCCCATTTTGTTACAACTGCTGATATCGTACGACAGCTCCAGCGCAGTTTTTCGAGTACAGCCTGGCTGTTGGCACAGTAATTGGATCCCAAAAGCCCGGCTACTCTCATGCTAGACTATTTTTAGAGCCACAGTTGGAAGCGTCAATTAGCACTGACAGCCATTCATAGAACTAAAGAACAGTTTCACACCGATTATGTTGAGTCAGCGTCAATTTTCTTCTGTTTTGAGCTTCTTTTTTTCCTACTTTCACCAAATTTTCGTCGTATTGACACCTTATACTGTCTCACGTCCTACCCGGTTTACAGCCTTAGTTTTCTCCTATCTTTTTCATATAGCATTTAGAGAGCGTCATTAGGTCCAAAATCATACTACTGTTTAATCAGCATAGTAGGTTTTTGTTGAGAAGCCGTTTGAAGTCACTAGAGTGAACCGTCGAACGTTCATTTTGCAGTTGCATCGTCCGGATCTTGATGTGTGTACAGTGAGGATCGAGGTGTGGAGTTCAGTCGGCGTGCTAAGGCGACGACAAATGCTCGGATGGCTGGCACTGGGATTAAATTCAAGTTCTCCAGATGCACAAGAACATTGGGAGCAAATGATTCAGGTCGGCTAGCCATTCAACGAATTGTTCTGCGTGAGAAATAGTGAAACATTTTCGTATCATTGTTTTTTTACGCTTCCCTTTCAATTTAGACAGAACTTGGTAGGTCCTGAACCGAAGAGTGTATCGTTATTCGGAAGTGTTCCCGAAATGTACGTAACCAACAACATCTACATGCAAAATTTTTTCTGGAAATCACAGATGTGAAGCAGAACTCTGTGTTTTTACCAGACAATAATGTTCTTTCGCGCAATGATCTGCTCCACATCCGGGATTTCAAGAAAGAATTGTGCATGCAGAAGTTGTTGGTTACATACATTTCGGAAACACGTCCTGTGGAAAGGGAAGTGGATGTGGTCGCTACGTGAAAAAGAAAGTGAAAAAAAATAGTGGTACAAAATCGCTTCGCTGTTTCTCTTGGCATTTTGACTTGATGTTTTGTTAAGTGCTTTTTTAACGCCGCAGTGCGCGAAGCGAGAGTCTCACAAGGTTGGCGATATGTGGGCAGAACTCCAGTCTCGGACGGAACTCGAACCCATCTCGGTAGCAAGGTCTCGGTAGTGTAAGGGATAAGAGCACGGTTCCCGAAAAGGGCAAGTACGGATTCGAGTCCCGTCCGAGACTGGAGTTTTGCCCACAAATCGCCAACCTTGTGAGACTCTCTCGACATTGCTTCTGGAAAAAAAGAAATCTTTCTCAAATTGGCGCTGAATTCCCGAGGGTTTGAAGTCTGTTTTCGATATGCGGTTAATCCAATAAAATGACCACAAAGATCCTTACATCTTGTTTAGTTTGGTATTGGGTTGAATCAGTACAGTATCAATACGTTTCTTTTGAATATATCACTTTTTGAGAGAGGGGCGAAACAAAATTATATCCAGAGGCTCCTACAGCCCTTATCTTTTGTCCTAAGATCTGGTACAGTTTTTGAAATTTGCTAATCGTTAAGGTTTATGGAATGTAGCTTCAGGGCTCTGGCATAACCGTCNTCGACATTACTTCTGGAAAAAAAGAAATCTTTCTCAAATTGGCACTGAATTCCCGAGGGTTTGAAGTCTGTTTTCGATATGCGGTTAATCCAATAAAATGACCACAAAGATCCTTACATCTTGTTCAGTTTGGTATTGGGTTGAATCAGTACAGTATCAGTACGTTTCTTTTGAATATATCACTTTTTGAGAGAGGGGCGAAACAAAATTATATCCAGAGGCTCCTACAGCCCTTATCTTTTGTCCTAAGATCTGGTACAGTTTTGGAAGTTTGCTAATCGTTAAGGTTTATGGAATGTAGCTTCAGGGCTCTGGCATAACCGTCACCAAATGGCATCAGGTTCTTCCACCAGAATGATCACATCATCAATGTTGGCTCAGTCTGAATGAAGCGGATATTTGGACTATACAATCTCCATTCTAACTAAACTATGCATTTGAACAGCTAGCGCTATGCGTTTAGGATCATTTTTGTAATGTATCGTCCTATTTTCAAAGGGTCTTCTGAACGTATTATTGCGTAACGATTTTTGAACCAGACGTACGCTGGATGAACATATAACTTTGATTTTTTCGCATCATTTCATAAAAGAAAAAGTGCTGGTCCGATATACTTGCACATTCCTTTTCTCTCTCGCCCACTTCCCACCTCGTTGAATGTCCATCATGCCCACCGTGTACTACATTTGTGACGCCACTTCACTCTAACATGTCACAGGAATGGTTGTATTTCACACATATGATGATATTCTGTAATGAAATTTCGTGTATCTAACTGAGCGAGTCTTTTTTTCGTTTTTCCCTGCAATTTTTGCGAATTAGTTGTATTTATTTGCTTTCGGTTGCTTCCACCCACGAGATATTCTGTAGTGGTCATTCTGAAAGCTGAGTGGTAAATACGAACGCGTCGCGTCATATGGTACATAATCTATAAACTCGGCATATTAGTTGTATGTACAGATAAAAAGTTCAGTCTTCAATGCTCATTTTTATTTGCAGGAAAAGCCTTGCAATTGATGCAAGTGTATATATTCTAGAAGAAAAACGAAAACATGTCCAAAAAGAAATAAAGAAGTACGGGTAGAGCATGGGCAGTCCATTGCGTATGATCTCCTATCAATAATCGAAATGGTTTTTTGATGAGCGCTGCCCGCTCTTATCATGCGTCTCCCAAGCCCTCAAAAATCGAGAAGAGCAGCACGATGTATCGAGATGGCTGAGATCACTGTGATCTTCCAGTAAGATTGTCTCGTTTACAGAGGCGATGTGCCTGTGAAAGTAAGTTCATCCAACCATGTCCCAAATCTCCTCAGAATAAAATAAAAGAGAAGAGCATTGCTAGATTATCATCTCAACCGTGGTCAGGAAAAGGAACGTTCATCGATAACTATTGTTCTACAGTGAATGTTTTTTCCCGCCAGATCTTAAGTCGTAAGCAAACTCTTGACCTTCGCAGGCCTATAAATAAGGACGGGAACGCTGATAAGTTCATTGCTGTTCGGTATCCTCTCCAGCTACATGTGACATGTGTTCTTGTGATGGTGCGTCTTTAACGTCTCTTCTCTGACGCATTGTCACCATCACCCAGCCGGCGGGACTCATTGTCGCTCACGGTGGGCCACCGACGCTCGCAATCACGATCAGCCGCTTGGTATGACTAGCTAGCTATTTACCACTAGCACACCCGTATATACTACGCTTGTATTTCATTTATACTTCGCTTATACAGCATTTATACTGCGCTCACACCCAAGTCAAGCTTACCGGAGGGCGTTTATACTGAGCGAGATGCGCATCGGAACCCAGCGGTAGAAACGCGCGAAGCGCGCGACGAAGTGTAGCAGTACTGCGTTTATACTTGACGGAAGTGCGATTACTTCGCGACTGTGCGTTCATACTTAGCAATATTGCGTTGATACTTAGCGTAAGTGCGTTTATACTTCGCGATATTGCGTTTATACTCCGCGAAAGTGCGTTTATACTTAGCGATAGTGCGTTTATACTTAGCAATGGTGGGTTTATACTTCGCAATATTGCGTTTATACTTCGCGATATTGCGCTTATACTTCGCAATATTGCGTTTATACTTCGCGATATTGCGTTTATACTCCGCGAAAGTGCGTTTATACTTCGCGATATTGCGTTTATACTTCGCGATATTGCGTTTATACTTAGCGATAGTGCGTTTATACTTCGTGACAATGCATTTGCGCTTAACAGTATAGCGTTTGTACTTAACAGTAGTGCGCTTATACTAAGCATATTATGCATTTGTACTTGACGGTATAGCGTTTATACTTAACAGCATTACCTTATACTAAGCGAAGTATCGCGCTCGTGCTTAGCAACATTGCGTTTATAGTTAGCATTAGTTAGTATTAGGTACAGATAGTGAGCGATAAAACGGGAACTGTTCGAACAAGGGGGTCATAAATGGAAAAGCTAATGAATATTGAAAAGACGAACATTTCATGAATCACATCAAATTATGTTTGAAAAGCTCAGAACTGGAAAACAAAGAGAAAAAAGGTGGAAGGGTTAAAGATTGGCGTCTACAAAGGAGCTTGCAAAGTCGAAGGCAGCTGAAGCTTAATAAACAGGAAAATGCTGTAGCAAGTAAAGGTTCCTATACAAAGTTGTATCATGTATCCGCGATCGAGCGCGATAGCGCGATTTAAAGAAGGAGGGCAGTAGCTAAAGCACTTTCCAGCCAGCTAATGGATATCCTACATTGAACAAAGGAGAGAGCAACAATGCACTCACTGGACCCACTCACATAAGCAGCTGTTTTTGCCCTGCCCAGTTATGAATGGGTGCAGGTTTGTGAGCTCATCGAATTTGCCACCCTCGTCGCAGCGCATTTTCTCTGTGCCCTCCCAGAGAGAAATTGGCTGTGAGCAAACAGCTCGAAATACGATACTTATGCTGATGGAGGCTTTAGAGCATCTTCGGTGGGTGGGAGGGGCGTACACCGTCATAACAGGCCTGCTCGAGTGGGTCGGCGGCGCCGATCACCCGCCGACCAGCGGCCGAGCCGGGTGGTCCAGAGGTACGCCGCAGGCGTTCCGAAGGGACCACCCGGCTCGGCCGCTGGCCGGCGGGTGATCGGCACCGCCAACCCACTTCGGGCCAACTCCCCGTGAGTGTCGGGAACAGGATATCCCGGTCACCGGAGAACCCTGGACCTCCGAGGGCCGTCGGGAAAGCTATGCCCGATGAAGCCTCGGAATCCGTGGTCTGCGGGGCCCTCGGGGAATTTATGCCCGATGAAGCCGGGAGGTCCGGTGGACGGGTCTGGCAGAAAACCAATTTTTTATAAAATTCAGTGTAAAAGTTCGCCGAAATTCAATGTAAAATTTGAAAAATTGCAATCATGACAGAAATTGGAGAAAGTCAAAAACTAATATGTAAAGGTGAAAGCCCGAAAAACCCATGGTCATGGTGAAGCAGATATAATGGAAGGGTGTTTGAGCAAAAAAAAATCTCATCGACATGTTCAGCGGAAAGATTCATAAGTGCTCGGACTTGATCAATAGTTTCAGTGAAGACAGAACAAAGAACTTCACCCATGGATCGGTCTACTGGAGTGTTTACGTAAAGATGGGTGCTCCATGGGGAGAGGTACGTTCAGAGATCAAACGGCAAATCGAATTGCACCAGTGAAGAGTGGAAAATCGCGGTGACCATCGATGCTCCAGCTCTCCTGGATCAAGGCGAAAAGGCTCATTCAACGAAGTTTACCTGTCTAGTCCTAGAGGGTCGCTCAAGTTAGTTTTGTGTAGCAGATTGGGAACGTCGCTTCACGTATATTCTACCATCTCCCTGCACTAAACCGATCGATGGATGACGTTCTTTGTTCTGCCTTCACCGAAACTGTTGATGAAGCCCGAGAAACATTTATAAAACTATCCGCTGAACGTGATGACAGGAACTTTTTCGCAAGAACTCTTTGCTCATTATATCTGTTTCACCATGACCATGGGCTCGGGCTTTTTCGCAAGCTTTACATATTAGTTTTCGACT